GCGACGACGCCGACACCGCCGCGGCGCTCGGCGGCGGCGGCGGCGGCTGCGGCGACGACGACCCGCTCCGCGCGGCCGAGGTGTCGAGCGCGGCGCTCCGGCGCCGCTGGCGCCTCGTCGGCCGCCGCGTCGACGTCGTCGCCTGGGCGCCGCCGCCGCCGCCCGGCGGCGGCGACGGCCTCGCGCCGCCGCCGCCCTTCGACGTCGCCGCGCTGCGCCCCCTCGCGCGCGCGGGGCCGCGCGAGGCGTGGGTCGGCGCCGCGCTCGCGCCGCTGCTCGGCGACCGCGCGCCCCTCGCGGGCTTCGCGCTCTTCCTGCCCCGGTCCTTCGACGCGGCGGCGGGCTTCTGCGCCGTCGTCGGCTTCCTCGACCGCGGCGGCGCGCGGCACTGGCGCGAGTGCCACGCGGGCCGCGGCGGCGAGCGCGGCGGCGCCTTCGTCGAGGTCTACGAGGTCGCGGAGCACGGCCGGTCCTGGTGGCGGTCGCTGTGCTACACGTCCGACGCGGGCCGGTCGCTCGGCGCGCCGCGCCACTCCGAGGACGACTTCGAGGACGGCGGCGACTGCGGCTGCGAGGCCTGGCCCCTCGCGCGGGGCCACGCGGGCGGCCGCGGCGCGCCGGCGCCGTCCGTCGACGTGAGCCGGCGCGCGACGCGCGGCGGCCGCGCGGCGACGCGGCAGACCCACGTGCCGGACCGCCACCTCCGGGGCCTGCTGCCCGACGCGCTCCTCGACGCCTACGCCTTCTGGCGCAACGCCGACGACGCGTCGCTCTGCGGCTACGCGCGCGCGGCGCCCGCGGACGCCGTCGTCGTCGTCGCGCTCGACGGCGCGCCGGCGCGGCCGCGCGTCGTCGTGACGCGGCGCCGCGTCGAGCCGGGCGCCGGCGGCCCCGACGACGCGCCGCCGCTGCCCGACGGCGGCGCCTACGGCGGCCTCGCGGTCGCGCGCGGCGCGCCGCAGACGCTGCTCCGCGTCGGCGGCCACGGCGGCCACGGCGTCGCGGCGCGCCTCGCGCGGCTCGACGCGGCCGCGCACGTCCTCGTCTGGCTCGCGCCGGC